CGAAGGCTGGGCTTGGGCTGCTTTTTTGGCAGCCTTTTTGGCCCGCCTTCGGGACTTCTTGGAGCCCCTCGCCTCCTGCCAACCCTCGTTGGAGGGGGCAGGTGCGGAGGGGCCCGGCAGGGGTGTCGGAGTGGGGAGCGGAGGGAATGCCACTCCGCTCCTCGGCGCTGTTCTAGGCCCCGTCTTGGCCGGCGCCTGGGGATGCGCCCTGGCCGGCGCCTTAGCCGGTGCCTTGGCCGGCGCCTGGGCCGGTGCCTTGGCCCCCCTCCTCGGCTTTTGTGGAGCCGATGGAGTAGGGGCAGACGCCGCCGCCGCGTAAGAAACGCGGCCTCCCACAACGGGGAGCGCGGTCGGAGCGGCGGCCGTAGGCCGCTGTGCCGACGCGAGCGGGGGGCGCATAATCGGCGCAGGAGGCAATCTCGCCTCCAGGCCAGCCAGGCGTCCGTCCAGCATATTCCCAACTGCGATGAGGATTTCTCGCAGTTGGGAGTCAAATGCCCCTGAGTTGGTGGTAGGGGCAGGCTGGGACGCGGACGGGGCTTCCCGCTCGGGGAGGTTCGCCTGGAAGCGGGCAAACTGAGCGCTCAGCTCGTTCACCCGCTCCGTCAGCTTCTCGTTGGCCACCTGCAGGCGAGAGACGTCGCCCGCTAGGCCCTCCACGACCTCCGACAAAGCGGAGGAGGAGTCCTTAAGGGCCCTCACAAACGAGCCCTTAAGGTTCACGGATTTGGTGGCCACCTTGTTGATGACGGCCACCGCCGCTTTCGCCCTCTCCTGCACGGACACGGGAGCCTGGGGGGCATTTCCCCCCACCGGCTCCCGAACCTTGAGCAGGAGATCCGCGATCTCCTCCTCCGCTACGGCCTCGCCGTCCACCCGTACACTTCTGTAGGACTCCGCGTTTGAGAACGCGGAGCCTGACGGGGTCGAGACCGAGGCCGAGGCCGGTTTACGTTGCCTCCCTCGGCGGCTGCTTGCCACCTTTGGTGGCATCATTTCTTGGGACGTATCCGTTTCCTCGTCCCTGGAGCGTCCGCGTTTCCGGCTGTCGCTTCGTTCCGCCTCCATGGCCTCCGCGCCATCCGACGAAGCGGCGGATCCGGAACGCAGCCGATCCGATGCTCTTCGGCTCCCAGAGATCAGAGTCAGACTGACTTCTGGGAGCCCCACCGAGATGGGCGTCCCCGACGCCACCTCACCTTCAGTGGACGACCCATCGACTCCACTGTTCCTCTTCTCCCTTGCACCTTTTGTTTCAGTGTCCGTTTTGCTTGCCTGGTTTTGTTTGTTTTCTGTTTGTGTCCGTTTCTTTGTATTTTTATTTGTATTCAAATTCATAATTGATCCCACGAGTGGGGGAGAAATACAGGTCCACCCGGGCAGAGATCCCCCATTACCCGGGCAAGCGTAAGTTTTTAACCCAACCGAGGGGTCCGCAGGTACCTCGGCTTGGAGTGCGCTCGCGACTGAACTTCCCATCAGCCATGCATCCCCTGGCCACGCACCAGAACACGGGATTCGGGGAATTTTTTAGAGAGGTTATCTTCCTCGCGGTCCGGGCGGTTAAGCCAAGACCCTCGCCCCCGATCAGAGCCGCGAGACTTAACCACAGCGCTCTTCTCGGGATTACGATATGCCGACGGTTGACAGGGAGACTACGTCCCCCTGCCTGCTCGGTGGTAGTGTGAGTACACGCCGAGCCCGTCCTCCTTTCTCCACCGCTGTCAGCGGAGAAACTGTGGCCCCTACAGGGCCCCGCCATCAGGTTTTTTACCGAGGTTTCCTCCTCCATGCTCCGAAGAGCGAAGAGCCAGCAGGGCAACCGGCAGACACGCCCACCCTGCTGGACCAGGCCTTGCCCGAGAGCCGATGAACGGCTGCCTCTTCTGCTAGAATATTGGCCGCTGGCGATAATCCTCTCCTCCAAGAGGACAAGGAGGAAACAGTACCATCGCCAGCGTTTCCAGGGTGCACCACGAGGAGGTTTTCTAGCCCAGCACCCCCACAAACCCTATACCAACCGTCTGGCCAGCGTGGTATAGTAGGCCAAAACCTCCTTTCTAAGGAGAGGCCTATATTCAGCAGTGGACTATCAAAGGCTGTTGAAGATGATGATAATATTTGTGCTGTACAATTTCCAAAGAAAAAAATCATGTAAATTAAGAGTAAAAAAAATTGATTGCTTTGAGAGCTTGCCGTGTCCAGACTACTTTTAATGTTTTTTTTTTAGAGTAAAAGTCCTATTTATAAGGCGTTTTATGTAATTAAACATTGCAATTCGATGTTTTTTAGGTTTTTAAAGCTGTAAAATGTTAATATCCGACTTTTATTGTGATAGGATGTCTATTATGGCTACTGTTGCCAAAATATACTTATATAGGTACAGCATATCCCCCCCAATCCCGAAGTAGGTAGGTGTAAATCTGATCTATCCGTTACACATGAAATGGCATATATTCTAAGGTCCCAAGAATTTGAGAGCGTATTGATATTTTATAAATCCGGTTACCAATTAAACTAATTTAGAATATCTGAAATTTGATAAGAATTATTTGGACCTATGTATAAACAAAAAAAATGTAATTGAAAGAGAGCTGCACTAGATTACTACGTGTCTACTACTTTCTGTCAGCATAACTGGCTAAACTGGTTTTTATAATATTAAATTATAAACTAAGACTGTCTACGATGTATGGAATAAATAATGTAATGAGCCAAACCGGCACTTAACAGTTGACAGATAATTCGGCGGCCGACCGCCGAAGATTGACACACTTTTGCGCAATCATTCTTCCAGTAGGAATAGGAAAAACTAAAAAAAGTAAAACGCACGGAAACTTTTAGCGGCTGTCATGTGCAATTAAAGTCTATCGATATCTTGTTGAAAGATAATTTATCGCACCCCAAATAATAATTCGATAACTTCACAACGTACATAAAGTAGAAACTCCAATGTTGAAATGTAGTACTGAAAGTTTTTCCACAATCTTAAAATTTTGGTACAATTCCTAGATATCTAGGTATTTTTCTATGTATGTGTATATTATATGTTTTTGTAACAATAACGTTTTGCTTATTATTTGAATAAGTATTACAATGAAGGTATAAAATATTTATGCTAATGTTAATTATGAGAACATAAAAAAGCTGGAGATCGCCTGGTAGTTGCATTTCATCAAATGGTAACTGTTTCGTTCTAGCTCTCATAGACGTTTCCTACAGCTGTTCAGTATATGAATACCACCCACACGTCTGTAGTTTTTCGTTGCCGTTTTATCATAATTCTTGAAACTTATAAGTTTTACACACGTCTTCTACATACAAATTTCTAAATGCGCGAAATGCGTTTAACAACAACAAAAAATGTTTTCATGTACTAATTTATACGTTCTTTTTATTTTGATTTTGAGGCCTATAACCTACAAAATGTTATTATATTTTAATTTCATCTTTATTACAGGTACCTACTTTGACTTTGGGTACGTTGAAGTTAGTTATTATAGGGCACCAAGCTAACAACGACACATGTTTGAGCAGAGGCATGAGTTTGAATTTCAAATATTGTCCTAAGAATATATTAATATTTTCTTGCCCGCTTCTATTATTTGGTAACATACTTGAGCCACAGCCACACAAGGCTGCTTAGAACCGGTTATTACAGCTCATAACTGGTCCAAAGACGACGGCACGCTACTTGGGTGGTATGGGAATATTCCCCGCGCTTTTAGGTTGAAGTTGGAATATTACTGCCAATGTAATATAATGTTTACGATGGATTGTTCAAAGTAAATGAAATGGCTGCTAAGAGTTAAATTAGGAACTCTATTTCTTTCTGGAACGAGTTGTAAAGAGATTTCATGTCTTTCCTTTTTTTTAAGTATGTATTGATAAACTCAAGCTCTGAGGATAAAAAAAAAAACAACACGAGACTCAATAGATAGCAGTGTAGAAAATATTTCCAAACTGCTGAACTCACTTAGATGATATTTGAAATAGATACATTATATTGTGGATTATGCAACATACACTGCGCTAAAATAATTTTATCTACACAAAAACTGAGACCAAAGAATTCGCCCTTTGGCCATCGCCAAGGTGTGTTTAGTATATTAGACCTCCTTACATCAAACGACATTTAAATAAAATTTGTTTAACTGTAATTTTAACACCCTCAGTTTTATTACTTTTCGCCCTAGTCCTTAGTACTTGGGTTGGGTAAAATATTACCTATTGCCTACATACATATTTCGTCATATTCATCATCGATGCTCTCACTTTTTCGTTCTTAGAGAACAATCATCTTTCATCATCATCATCAACAGCCTTTCATAGTCCACTGTTGGACCTAGGCCTCTCCTTAGAAAGAAGGTTTTGCCTACGATACCACGCTGGTCAGACGGGTTGGCATGGGGTTTCAAGTTGTTCTCCTCTTTCATTAGTTTTTTTGTTCTATATTGAATATTCTTCTTCTATTACCTATTTAATCTATCTCTGTTCGGGCACGATACGCATCTCATATAATGTACGACTGCTTCTGATATGCGAAAATACATAATCTTCAAACAACATTATTTTACATCTTAACTTTCCCATGTTGCTTTTTAATTTTTAGAGAGCACTATACTGTTAATATTATATTGTTGGCAATTAAATCCATTGATTTGTTAACAACAAATAAATTATACCTTGCTTTGCTAGACGAGACATAGTGTAGTGACATCAAAATTAAATTGACATTCAATAATAGATTTTTTTTTAAATTAAGTTCAATTTGTATTGTTTTTCTTATACCATTTCTTGGTAAAAAATCATTTAAAAAAATCTATTACCGACTAGTGGCGCAACCTATATACCGATTTGGTAACTTTAGTGAACCGAATGGTGCTTGGTAGTAAAAAGGAATGACTGTAGAGGGCGCTGATTTTTTTAATCTAAAAAAAGACGCGCATAAGATGGAAATGTTAAAATTAAAAAGTAACAACATATAAATAATTACTTACGTGATTTGAATTGATGGGTCAGGGAGCCAGTATCGGCGGCGTGATGATACTCATACACGGATCGGCCAACCAATTCGTCTGGTTCGAAGCCGAGCGTGTTCGTCAACCTGTGAAAGGAAACAAGGATAAGAAAACAGGCAGACATACAGTTACTTAAAATTGCTGATTGGATAAGGAACTATTCACGTAATCAAAGCTTTTTAATTTTTTTTAAATAAAGAAAAACAAGTCTATGAGGCTTAAATTTTAAGCCTCATAGACTTTAACACTAGTATACATAGGCATTAGTGTGAGTAAAAACAGCTAATGAAAAACCAAACTCGATAATTCACATTGAATCAAGTTTTAATTATCACATACCTTGAACATCTGTTTTAACATATCTAGATAAACTGGCCAAGAAAACCTTGTTCCAAAGGTCACCTCTAATGTGAGTTGCAATACCCATGCTTTAGTTTACATTTGCCGGTACCTATATACGTAACCTTGAATGACCTACCCGCCACTCCCATCGATTTTTTTTTGATAAATATAAATATTTTACTAAAGTTGCCTTTCTAAATTATGGCTTCCGATACAAATAACTATTAACATCTTTGCTTTAGGTTAAATACTATACTTACACAGCTGGTATTCAAATATCCCGCCATTCTACAAGATTTTTTTAATTTAAACTCACTATTTAAACCTAATTTTAAACACAAACACCAAATTCCTTGACACACATCAAATTCACACTTCACAACACACTATTTCATCAAATAAAGAGTGATTTTTGCGAAAGTTTATCGCGGACTGTGTACAAAACCGCGAAATCGCATCATGTTTAACCTACAAAATACATTTGAAGGTGATATTTTGTTGATATTATACGGTTGATTCAAGTGGATAGGTGTATGACTAGAACACAATAGACAGCGGGCGGGTTGAATTCAGTCAGGTAATATGACTTAGTACTTTGGTTACAGCGCCATCTTTTGATTACTAATTAAAATTGTTTCCCCAAAAGTCCTGATTTCTACAACAGGTTTCTTTCTTAAGTCTTACGATCTATGTCGCTACCAGCGACATACCCAGGTAATGTTATTCACATAATTATTTGTATAGACTAATTTATGTACTTACGCTTTATCCACGTAAGTGAATTTCATATCCAGACCGTGTTTCGACAGGAAAGTCTTGCTGTCTAAGGGTATTTCGATATTGGAGGGATGTGGGATGGGCCTACCAACGGCAACGAGGGTGCCATTTTTGATTGCTTTCTTGTCATCTCCATCAGTTTTCTTCTCATCAGCTCTGTTGTTGTTACGTTCTGTTTTGTCGTCTGTAGGCATCAGCATATGACCAGTGATGTGTATCACCTACAACAAACAATCATTAAAAAGTTAATTAAAGTTTAAAATTAACTAATTAACTCGTTATTTATGATCAAAGATCATAGAGTTGTTGTTAGAAACTGCACCATAATATTACTAGTAAAATGGTTAGAATGCATTGTTTTAATATTGTATGATAAGTAAATAAATTTCAATCACTATCAGGAATTTAAGTTGCCGTGAACTCTTAGCAGTAATTAAAGGGATGGCATAGACTTTTCCTAATGTTATGGATTTAAACAATGGTTTCTATCCTTACGACATTTTAGTTCCGACTGCAGGGACGGGCGAACCGAGTGGTTTCCTAGGTCGCCGGAGCCTAGTTTTATAGCTCTCTAAGACATACGATTAAGCAATAGAACAGCTACTTCGTGATTTTTTTCTGGATTAAAAATATCCCATGTCTTTTGTTTATATACCTGTCAGTCTATGTAAAATATTATGATGATATGAAGAATTATGTTGCAGCGCACAAAATACGAAAACAGTTTTAGAGAAGAGTTAACTGAAAATAAAGCGACAAAGAGTAGTAAGCTCGTCAGAATATAACATCAAGTACCGTTTTTAAACTGCAGAAAAAAAAAATTAAATTAATATCTCTTAAATTAATTTGATAATTAATATTTTGTTCTTTAGTCTGTATGTAATGTTTCTACAAATTGTTGAAATTGTTTAACTATAGATCATTTATTTTATTGTTACATGAACAATAAAATAAATGATCTATAGTTAAACAATTTTTGTAACGACATCAGAATTATTGGCCGTACTTAATTAGTTTCCTGCACTTGCGTACGAAGATGTCCCGAACTTAACCCACCCTTATCAACGTATTCAGATAAGATAGTAACAGTTATCTCTCCATCCGTAAATCAATAGTAAAGAGAGTAATAGAAGTATAGAAAGTTTCATTATGTGGGTGATAATTTGGATTTTGTTGCAGAACGGACGGCTCTAGAAGTTAGGTTTCATCGAGAGGTACTGATTTATTTTAAATATGCTTTATTCAATTGTCTACTCTATCACAACGTGTTTAAAATGTGAGAACAGAGAAAATTCGTGGGATTAAACCAATAATGTTTTAGCCTGGTCGGTGAAAATAAGTAACTACCGTAAAATGTAAGTCCGTGGATTTAATCTAGCTTTAAAGAAGATAAGTCCTGGGTAGGTTTTTTTTATTTTTTATGGTGTTTGAGAGGAGGAAATCTGTAAAAGACACCTATCAAGTTGTTGAAGACCGGCAGTGTGGGATTCTTACCCACTAAAAACCTCCTCTCTCTTGTACCTAGAACCGCGGGACCGCGCTAGCATTACTTCGCAGTACTAGACCCCTCCTAGCCGTTTGGCTGCGGCTACTGCTCCGTGTTCCGTTCTTCTTTTTTCTGCAGCAGGACCTGCCTTACAAACCTTGTCATTGCTGTCCAGTTGTTTGCCGTTTCTAGCATCCAAGGGATGACCTTTTCCGGTCTTCGTGGCACTCCCTTCTCACTATGCCAATGCAGTCCTGAGTGGGTAGTCATTAAACTGTAAACCATTGTCTAAAGTGCTTCGGAATTTTGATACGAGGTGAAAAGTGTCAAAGAGGCGGCGAAAATATATCAGAAGAGGACTAATACTCTCTCGTACCTTGGAAGATACGCCAGGAAAATGTAGACCGATTTGTAAAGCTGATTAAAGGTTTGAGAGAGGCTATGAGTTAACATAAGAAGGGACTACAATCGAAGAATTGCGAGTACGACCTGTATGTCATAAAGGAGTTTAAAAGGTTTAAAGGAGTTTCTCACTTTTATAGTGTGGTTTTTCAGAGACCTTGGGGATTCTGTTCCTTAAATCATACTAGGGCTCAAAGCTCTATCAGTTCAGTAGTATCAGCTCCCTCAGAATCTAATGAGATTTTAGGTAAGAAGTTGTTTGTCAGAGAGCTCGGACTTTTAAACAATAGCCAAGCCAGCTCTTGCCCTCCAAATTTTTCCATCTTAGTCGTCAATTATCATTAAACGGCAATAAGCTTCCCCTTATTAAGTGGTTAGTTGGCGAAATACTCCTTCGGGGGAGTGGATGAGTATAGGTACACTCACATCCACACCCGTACCCGTATGTATGTAAGTTGCCGACATACCACATTCCATAATGTGAGTAATTTGAGGTCAATAATGACTGATTTTCGTTAAAGTTTCTAAAGTATTGCGTAGCTGTAAATAAATTGCAGCGTGAGTATCAAACTACAACCTGTTTACATCTATTTCGTATTATTTTTTTCGGAAACATTCAAGTAAACAATATAATATGACACTCGTTAGATTTTATTGCGTATGAAATAACTTAGATTGAGCAGGGGCATTAGGCTGATATAGCTAAAATAGGCAAAAATTTGGATAAGTAATCACGATTTCAAAGAAATGAGAAACAAGCAATAATAAGTTTAAATACTGACTGTACTAGTATAGTAGTAGTATAGTACCTTTCAGTATTTCCATAGCTGCGGTTATTAGGAAAAAAAAAGATTTTAGATTTTATGTAGTAAACAAAACAAGTAAGTGTACGTCCTGCCTGATGGTAGCGGTTACCTTGTCCTATGATCGCTTGCCACACTTGGTAGTTTTGGTATTACTGAACGTTCATTAGAAAACTAGCCTCAGTAACTAGTTTCAAGGACCTTTCAGGTTTCGTTCATATTTTGTGCGTATATGTGTGTGAGTACGTAAGTATGCTACGATACGTAAGCTACATACATTTGATCTCAGATCAAAAAAAGTTAAGATGGTACTCTGTGAACAAAGTAGTAAGGTCAATTAAAACTACGCCTTGGCAGCCTTCAAAACATCATTAAAAATATCAACAATATTTACAACTAAAAATGCCGAATTGTGATGTGAAAGGGTGTAAAAATCAAACTACAAGAGATGGATACTAGGATGGACTCTTATTTCACAGATAACTAAGTGTAGAAACCAATATTTTCAATATAATATAATATATTATGATGGCCCACGCACGCATATTTAAAAAACCTTCCACACTTCTTCGCAGTTTCTTTTTTTATTTGATCTCATCATTTGATGTGACACGAAATAAATTTATTAATATCGCTTAAAAAGGTATAGGTAAATGAATCAGCGGTATATTGTGTGTCTAGAAAATCGGGATGGCGTGATTGTGCAACATATCATCAGCAGCAATTCGTCGTATGACTAATTTCAATCATAAGTAGAATGAAATGACAGAAAAAATACTCAGTTATATAATTCGATGCATTTCTTAGAACTTGAGCTTGTTTTTTGTTGACATTAGCTTTGAAGAAATATATAATTCAATCGATCCAAATAAGGTGTGAATTCTGTTCAAAATCATTGGAAAAGTAATATACTCCGAATAAACATTTTAAGTTATAATGTTCGACCAGAACTTGAAGATTACTTTCTAAAACGTTTACAACACGTAGCATTCATCTTACAGATAGTATTAAGATAACGCCAATGTTCTTTACGAGATCTTCAAAATTAGGTTTTACTTTAATCTAAATGGAAAATTTTACTACAACTATTGCAAAACCCATAAGTGGTCTTGCAAAAGGTCTTAAGTCCGGTTGATTTATTGACTTAGTAAAGTATTATTGAATTTTCTTTGAATAAAAAAATTTGAGAAGCGTTTATTTGAAGTCAGGTTGATGTGCACAAACAGTGACAGACATTATTTTACACTATGCAAATATCCACGAATTTACTTATTGGAATATTAAGACCTTCGTAGTTGGCTAGACTTATTTAGATGAGTTACCCTGACCGAAATTTAGTCAAGGGTACTTACATAATAACTATCATACTGGTCAGATTAATAGATATCGTTTCTTTTTCTACACAGTGAAAGTGACCATTTTAGCAAAACGTTTTTTTAGTAAATAGCCAATTTAGCAGCTTTTGCTACATGCTGATGCATACTGCAATTTAAAAAAATGCATAAGTATCTATCTGGTAAACAGTGTCAGTTGAACTTAAGCATAACAAAAACTATGATTCATTTGGCATTTGTTGATACTAATGATTTAAAATACAGATCTTTCAAAACAAGTCATTTCACATGGATGATTAAATTAATTTTACATAGGCAAAGAAGTTCAAAGAATCACTTTCTCCGAGGTCTAGCTATGGTTTTACTTTTCTTTAATGGCGTTTCACGTTTCAGCATCGATATTATAACAAAAAATCAAAAAACTTGTTTTAAACAAAACTATTGATTATGGTTAAATTTCGACCACTAGTATTAAGTATGAGTCTAGTGAGATAAGTAGATGATTATACATCTACTTAAACTCTAAACTAGGGTGGTTTGCAAACTTAGCCAAAAATATCTTAGCATGTGCGCAATCGTTTTCTTCTTAAAATTTACACAAATTTACAAGTTTAAGCTGCTTTTACCTTATAGGAAGCTGATTTCAGATGCACATTTCGGCCTTTGCTCGTGAGTGTGCACTTCAGGCGAAGTAACAAATCGCGACGCCCGCCGCCGTTCGTACGCAGCGCTTCGCGAATTTCGTCATGATCGCATGGGTGGCTGAACTCGAAGATACTCTGGCCCATTATTTCCATCTGAAATTCAAAATAATAACTCTATTACGCATCTGTGTTAAGTTCTAACAGCAGTAGTGCATGTATAGATCTACATAACAGTACAACTCCATTTAAGTAAAAAAAAAACCGGTACAGATGCTTGACCTTAATTTATCTTTATAAACAGAATTCATTAAGCGGATCGTCACCGCTGTCGTCTTTTACAAGTATGATTGACTTTAATCGTAAATAGATGATGACATAAAAGCGTTTCTCTTTTATCCTTCGGTTAGTTACGCTTATTAAGACTAAAACCAAATGTTAGGGCAGTAAGTCTCAAAAAGTATTCATATGTTAACAAAGTTCCATTATAATGTGTGCCATACTTGCAAGACTATATTATAGCGACTATACAGTATTTACATTAATTTGCCAATTCCAAGTATACATAGAGTTCAAAACATTTTAAACGTGTCTGTTTTATAAGTTTGAACACAATCTACCAAATTTATATACCTCTACGACGTTTAAAAGTTGATAGAGAGCTTTAAAACTCAAAGTTACAGAAGGGGTTATCCCTTCTGTAACTTTGAGTGGGGTTTTAAAACCAAGTGTTTGATTTATTAGAACTTTTTTTTTTCACTAGAATAACGAGGTACTTTCCCACTAAATCGGTTTAGTTAGTGGGAAGCTAGATATAATAAGTGGGCGAAAGATCAACCCAAATTGCGTACCTTGATTAGAAAAAGAGACATAGAGAAAGAAACCTAATAAAATATAAGGAATCTGTAGGAAGAAATTGAGTTGTAAGTTTGTTTGTATATTTCGAGAATGGTCGAAAAACACGAAAAAGCAACGAAAGTATTACTTCACACCTGAAGGCCAATTCTCGTAATAAAAGTTCGGTCTCAATTCAGTTCCGATAAACTTTCGATCTCACAACGGTCATAAAAAGTATTTTCGTAGTAAAATAATAAAGTATTACTAAGACTAGTAGATTACCGATTAAATTTTCGGTTACAACACGATATAATCACATTACAGTCAACGTTGGATGTTTAATGCTTTACTAGTATTAAACATCCAAAGGCGCCGAACGCGGTCACCGTGACGATCGACTAGATGTTAAATAAACTTGGGCCTCAGGGGCTCGTCTGTTCGTTTTCCTACCATGCTAAATGCATGAAATAATGTTTTTTAGAAGCCCAAAATCGATCTAAGTGGCTTGCAATGGGAGAGGCCTATGTCCAGCAGTGGACTTGGATAGGCTGATGATGTTTTTTTACAACAGAATTTTATTATCATGATTTGCACCAAATTTCTAAATGTCAGTGCATCACATAATAGGTCTAGACTAGTTGACAATTAATCCTATCTATTTTACGGGGCGGACAATATTATTCTATAAACTTCCTTGTAACAAAGTTGAGCGTAATAGGTTCTAAGAAAACGATTGGAGCCTACTGATCTAGGCGCCAATGCGTCAACAGTTAATTTGTATACAATGTGCCACTACTGCTATAAATGGACAGCCTTAGTTACAACGTTAATGTTGTTAATTCTGTTGTTTAAAAACTCTCTAAACTAAAAATCACAAAAAATTAGTTTAGTCCTGTCAAACAATGTTTAATATTCTGAATACGTAGTATTTGACGAATTTTTAGTGATTTTTAGTTTAGTTTAAAGAGTTTTCGAACAACAGAGCTAGCAACATTGACTTTATAATTTTTGGTCAGGATTTATTACTTTCTGATAAAACAGTGTATTGTTTTTGGGAATTTAATTTTATCCATGCATAATAGGAATAGTTACTGACTTGACTTTGTTTTAAAGCGTATTCTTTATTTTATTTTAAATTACCGTACTTTCATAGATTTTTTAAAAATATGTTCATGATAAAACATGTAAATAATTGGAAAAACTTTATTTTTTATATATTTTAAGGTTTCAATGATTTGTTTTAACTCTTTAAAAATGTTTATTGAGAAACACAATAAAAGTTACAAAAGTGTTTAGCAAAACATAGAATTAGTGTAGCAGATCTTATCAGGTAAATATTTAACAAAGTACCCACATTAATTACCGTATGATCGTATGATGTGTGGAAGTGAAAAAATAGCAAAAAACATTATAAGTAAGAAATAGTATGTAAATAAAAAAACCTCGTGCTACAGGCACAAACCGCCGTGAAAACTCAGTAAGAATTCAACATGTAGAGTAGTAACCCGTATGGCATCAAGGTTCATCATAAAATATTCCATTTGTGAACGTTGTGACGTAGGCGCGATATCGACCTAATTTGACACTGTACTGCGGCTCTACGAAAACGCGCGTGAACATCATGCGCTATCAAACAAAACTTTTTAGCCTTTACACATTAGGTTTTAGTGTCTACCTATATTTTTCAGAGAATATAAATAAAACAAGCGTGATATAAAAAGCGTGATTAATTGATAAGTAAAAAAAAACTCTTTCGTAATATTATGTCAAAAAGAAAAATAGGATGTCGACATAAAACAGGAAGGTACTTTACATTTTAAAATATCGAGAGTATTTTAAGCACAAAGAGAATTGAAACCCTTTTTATGAATTCGAAGATAACTTGAAAGATGTAAGTAGAACCTAATCATAAAAAAATATTACTAATTTAGTACTAAAACTTTTAGTATTTAAAAATCTTTATATATATAATTCTTCTGTGAGTGTGTATCTCACTGAACTTCTCTCAAACGACTGGACCGATTTTGATGAAATTTTTTGTGTGTGTTCAAGGGGATCTGGGAATGGTTTAGATTCACAATTTTGAATGGTAAGGGTGACCCATCCCTAATTTTTTTTTTGTTGCAATACAACGTTTGCCGGATCAGCTAGTAATATATAATTTTCAAAACCATGCTCAAATCGGTTTTGAGTAAAATCATACTAAGGATAGAATTTACGTAAAGTTAAACACTTAGATAATGGAAAGTCTCGTAAATATCGTACAAATCTAATAACATTATAAATTTCCTATTCGAGTTTTAAATACATAAAAAACATAACAAAAGGCTACCAAGAATGGTAAATAAACATGCAAGCGGGCGGATTAAAATGCTTCTAAGACACAAACGAATGAGGTTGTATCGCAAACAGGTTTTAAAGTATGCGCTGGAATGATTTGAACCGTGACATTGGTAGCTATGTCTTTGTTGTTATGGTGTTTACTATTTGTAAAGTATAAAATTACAAATTAGATAGTAACAGTAGGTAATTTATGAGTATCTTAATATTTATTAATATTATTTCCATTTATATTTTTATGTCCTGTTAAATTACTAAATTATGAGTATAATCTTAGGCAACAAAAAAACCAGTCATGTATTGCATTTTAAAAGACGTGTTTTTGTTAGCTGTTTCTCAAGCTACAATAAATTTTATTTACAACCTTAGGGGGTCCATTAATTACGTAAGGGGTTGTCGTTGATTTACTGCCTCCCCCCCTCCCCCCTGATGAGATGTCGTGAGATTTGATTCAACCCGCTCCCCCAAACCCTAATCTCACGTGAGATTTTTAAAAATGTGTTTCTAGTGTAAAGGTGGTGTAAAGGCTGGCGGTGGCGAGTAAACGAAGGACGGGCTAATGTGCAATTTCCTTACTCACAATTTATATTCAACATAATTAGACTTCCATTTTAAGGTTTAAATGTACATTAAATATCTATATCTTCTTGAAGTAAAGGTTAGCTCTTAGTAAAGGAAAATTATTCATTTATAAATAACTCCGATTATTTAATGGTTAATTCAAATAAAACAAAAGCTGTTTATGAGAATACATAAAGTCGTATGGGGAAAACCTAAAAACAAATATAGTGTATTCTGTGTTCGCGACACAGTTTTTACAAAACTACTTTACAGATTTACATTAGTCATGGAACGAAGTTCCGTATCGCGCGTTGTGAAAGGGGGCTAGACGGAAAAAAATCTCACGAAAAGTTGTAACCACACTTTTTATTTTGAATTGTCACTTGTCAGTCATTCAGCGCCATCTATAAATGTATAAATTGTTTTAATTAGAAACCAACTGAAAAATATGTAGGTAATAGCCGCTTTCATAGATGGCGTAATTAAAATCGTGTCGAATCAGTTTAACTCCGATCGTCACAACTTCGTTCCTATCGGGTGTCCCACGACACCACACGCTTTTTTTTATTGTCATGGTATAAATATAGTAACAATAGCTTATTTTAACTAAGCCTTTGTATTATGAACTAAATTACTCTCTCTACTTTTTAACATTGATGCCAGACGGAGGACTGAGTCTGGGTAATAGAAAGCATTTGCAAAAACTTTATGTATAGGTTCACATATTAAGATTCGATTATCTCCTTTCATGTATTTAATAAGTAAAAGATAAGAAAGTTATTGATATAATTGTACGTGATCGCTTTAATCAGATAATTATAAAAGATTGGTAAAAACTATTCAATAGAAAAAAACAAAGGTATTAACTCTGCTCTGAAAATTGTAATAATTCCTACATAAAATACTCTTAAAGAATATAAATTCCTTAAGCAAAAGATATCCTTCAGAGTGTACTTTAATCAAGTGAAAAAGCTTTTAGAATTTCACCGGTCTGGCTACTTCGGCTCACAGTGCCTCCATCCAATCAGGGTAAATTCGTTCATTTGCTTAATCCCGCACATAAATCCTCAGCATCATGATAAGCTTCGGTATAGGGCTTTTGATACAGAATTATTTGTTAGCAATTAATGACTATTTGATTCATCGCCAGATAGGCTTAACCATCATAATGAAAAGCCACTAAATTCAGGTTCTGAATAAACTACTTACGTAATTGTAAAATTTGCTGATCTGAAGAACATTTAACTTTGTAGTTATATTGGGGTAAAATAAAAGAAAGTTTAAATTATGTAATTATATCGACTGAAGAAGGAATAGTAGAAAGGCAGCATAATGCAATGGATACAGACTTAACCGAGGAATACAGATGATAGGCATAAGCGTTACCTCGTTTCGTCTTTTGACCCCGACGAAAAAGCGAGAGTGTTATAAGTATATCGTTGTGTATGTGTGTGTCTGCAAAACAGATGGACCGATCCTGATTAAGTTTCTTTTTTATTCAAAAGACAACTTGATCAAGAATGTTTTAACAGCAAAATTCTTTTTATTGTAAGAAGGACAGCCCCCAAATCTCCCCCTTAATTTCAGGTGGAGCCACCTAAAAGCCGGCAACGCACTTATGATATTTGAGTTGCATGTCTGTAGAGGTAGACCCGTTTGCTTGTTTGCCCCCAATGCAATAAAAAAAACAGCAGTTTGTCACAAAATATTAGTTCCAACCATCACAAAGTGTCTGGTAATGGGCTGGCTGACGTATTTAACAATGTAATGTTTCCTTCTTCAAATCGGCATTCGATGTACGTTTGAATAAACAGGACACGCCAAAGGTGCCATTCCGATAACAGTTGCACTGCGGTTACGCATATTTAAAACTGAATTATGACGAATTTATTTATGAAGTTCGTTCGTTTAATACATTGTAAAAATTTAAATGACAATAACACTTATTTGGTGAAAATTTAAATAATTTAAACACAGTGAAATCAGTTGCTTGATTCAAAACAAAAGTATCTTCATGGAGGAGCCATTGGTAATTAATTAGATAATTTTGTACACACGCGAACATGAGCAAGTACGTACCAACACATAAAGCATTGTCTAGTTTTTTTTGGTCATAATTTTTGTGACTAAACCTATCCGTCGATGAAATCTACAAAAGTAGACAACTTAAAAGTTTTTAATACTTTTCTTTTTCTTTTTAAGCCTACTTTTATATCAACGATGAACAAGAAAAGTAGTTAAGTAAATACTATATAAATTATTATACAACTGAGAGCGAGGTAGAAACCAGTTATGAAAAATTAATGAGTCTTCTAACCGAAAAGAAGGATTTAGACTTCCCTATAAGAGACTAGCATATAGCAGAGACTTAAAAACAGGATGTGCCTCCCAACCCCAAGGTGAGTTGTCTAGAATGGATAATACATATTAGTCGTCCATTAGATACTGTAATAAGCATTAATCATGATTGCCCGCGATATGATGCTACGAAATCGACATACACGGTCAAACTGATTAATATCATAGTCAGTGATAAATCGGGTTTGTAATTAGACGATATGCAAAACGGACACACATCGTTACATATTTCAGAGCCATGTAGCGACAACCAGCCAAATCACGCAGTTGCTGTAGATGCTGGATCGCACAATGAACGTTTTCGCGCTAATTGGTACATTTATCTAAAACTTCTTAACAATAATCGTCAGAAAGTGGCCCATCTGTCATTATCATTTCGAGGTTCGTACTTTTGTGCTAGAGGCTGGTGGATAATCAAATGGAGTAGAGTATTTACTTACTTGTGAGACTCCAAGATGATCAGCAATGTTCTCGCTGCAATACACAATATCACCTGGCTGTGACAGCACCAGAACGAAGCCGTCTAAAGCTTTCATGTACGAAAGCTCTGTTGACACCTCCTCTGTGCCTTCAGGGTTCTGGACCTTGGGATGCTCTGTCTCAGTTTGCGGCACTGGAAATTACCATCAGTATTAAATAAATTTAGGTTGATTTTTTAAAAACAGGTTTGTGTCTGGATAAATAAGTGATAGTCGTATTATTTGTTTTGATAATAGACATAATGTTCCATTTATATTCCTGATATAATTATCTTTATTTGTTCGTGTTTCTTTGTTCGTGAAGACAATAAGAAAGGGGAAAAAATGAATAAACTACTATGCTAAAGAGATATTGAAATTGTTTTTACTGAGTATATCATACAATTTCTACAGTACATATTCAACAGTCATTAATTTGAAACTGTCAATACTGCTGACGATTTCAAGGAGAAATGAAAGAGAGATAATGGAATGTAGAAATAGATTATTATCACTCAGATATTATCTTTGCATATTGTGTATTTTTATCCTAATAACTCTAGAACTAAAACTCAATACATATGTAGAATAATTAGTTCTATCTAACCAGCTGTTCTGTACAATAGCATGTACGTTTCCAGAGATCCTTCGATTTGACGAACGATGTGTTTTGATATTCGTTTAAAGATTTATGAACCCGGTAAGAGTTCTTATAATAACACGAGTTTTTCATTTACAACATATAAATTTAAAACCATAAGAATATGAAACTTAATTGTTTGGTTCGATGGTGGGAAAAACATGCGTTCAAATTCACATTCCTTCAAGATGTATATAAATATACAATTCGACGACCAACAATCGATCTCGAAATGATAATCGTAATTTTATTTATGGAAAACAGATTTCATATGGAAAACAAAATAATTTAAGTGGTAAAAATAATCTAATGATTATTTACATCTTTTACCGTTTTAATTTGTTGTAACCCATCTGCTATTCTTCTGTCATCAATGCAATTTAAATAAATTAATATAAACTTTAGTGAAATAATCTCTGGTAGTTGCCGATCTCCGAACTAACTTAGGAGGAGGAGGAGAAAAATATGCTAAAAACGTATTTAGGGTACACAATGAGTACTCTCAACCCGTCTAGCCAGCGTGGTTTAGTAGGCCAAAACCTCCTTTCTAGCGAGAGGCCTATGTCCAGCAGTGGACTAATACAGGCTGTTGATGGTGATGCTTGATAAATAAGAGTACGATGATTGCGTGGGGACGATGAGAAAAATACCTCTACTCAACCTAATATATATTTAAGTAACGCCAATACCCGCAGTTTCACCTGCTTTTATGGCCAGTGTTCCGCTTCTTAGGATCGTAGTGTGATATTTTATAGCCTATATCACTCCTCAATAAATACTTCTATTCAAAATTAAATTAGCGCGCATTGAAACAAACATCTTCATCATCATCACATCAACACCTTTAATAGTCCACTGCTAGACATAGGCTTGTCCTTGGAAAGGAGGTTTTGGCCTACTAAACCACGCTGGCTAGACGGGTTGGTATAGGGATTGTTTCAAGTTTTACTTCTCTCTGTAGTGTTGTTGTCCTGCGCAATTTGCTCAATTGTTCGGCTCTTAAGGCACCCACGGGATGAATAGGGGTGGCGACACTCCGTATTCTAATTCCGTCATCACACGAGACAGACGAAATAAACAAGAAAATCATCAGCTTCATTACATTACTATAGATTATTGTAAAGACATTAGTTTTATGTTTGAAGTAGTCCCATTACAATTATTGTCTTAGCTAGACAGGCTGTTGATTGTCGTGTCTAGCTCACAAATATATCGTGGGCGAAATTGCTGACCTCTGATACGAGTATTATTAAAATACATAATTGCGAGATTTATCGCTAAGCAAAAAACGAAGACAAAAACAGTTAACTAAAAACGTTTTCTTAGCCTTGAACCAGCATTTCGCGCGTGTAACTATTATCAACAAGTCACTAACAAAACAACAAGAACACTTTGCAATTTAAATGATTCGCATTGATGTCAAAAAAGATGATACTAGTATATTCAAGCAGTCGGGATGCACTGACGTCATAGCGTGGCATATAGAGAAGCCAATGTATGCATGCAGCTTACAAATAAGACGGAAATTTGTGGTTAAAAGTACCGAGCTCCTGTTTAATATTTTAAAATTTAACAATCAGTTTATGACAGTACATTGCTTATAGCAATAAAAAACTGTAATTGTATCGGCATGGGTTTAGTGTAAAGAAGAAAGTAAGCAGTCAATAGTATCTTGAAACACAAATTCAGGATACGAGTAGTGGAGTATTTTTTTCTTTTCCGCTTTCTGTCAAGTACAGTGTTGAGAATTTGCTACCATTCAGATATCAGAGATTATAGGATAGGAACGCAGATATATAGCGAAATTATATGGCATTGAAAGGAACGGAACTGAGTGTTGTGGAAGTTATAGACTTATTATTGTTATGCCGAAAGATACAAGTACTCGTACAATGGCTTGATGTATTATTAACCATTCAAAAATTTACGAATTAAACATTATTACAGTACATAAATATCTATTGTAATTCTTTCAAATAAAAATTTACATATTTATTATAAAGATGGAATATATGAAATAGGTTATTTAGATGGAAAAATACATCCTCCTAAATACGCTGCGGATACTCAACAAAATACCTATACCTAAATACCGTATACATGCAAATATCGAAATAGGGCTGTGATTCTTTTTAATTTTTTCAACAAGTAGAAGTTTGGTTTTTATGGTCCTTAAAATTATCTTTAAGTACTTACCAAACCGACACATTATTAAAACGATGTTTCACAATCATTAAATCATCATCTCTACATTTTAATTTTACGAGCACGTGATATGATTAAATATCAGATGAGCTGACCACAGTCCATCTTTTTATCAGGTAGCTCAAAGTCTATAAACATTTGTATTCAAACAGTATGGTTAAAATAAAGACTTAGTGAAACGCAATCTTATAGACTTGCTCTTAATGTGATCCTGTTAAAGTATTAAATCTTATACCTCTTTACTTCTGATTTCATACTTATAAGAGTAATTGCAAAATAACATTTATAATTATTCGGGTTTTTCGGGTAGGTGCTAAATAAGTTAACACACATAGTAAAAATCTCTGCAGTATTTTAAATAATTTTAATTAATAAATCCCTAGTGTTTGTTATCAAAAAACGTGCAATAAAGCTTAGATACATTGTACTTACAGTTATCACACTGATTTACATGATTTAAGCCAGGTATTTTAACCACCTGCCAGCACATCAACACTACACAGCGTAACTTTAAAGAAAATATTATTTTCACTTTGTAATCACAACTATGTCTCAACTGTCTGATATTCAAGAGGCTCAGAACAGTTTAGAAGAGAGCTTCTCGAAGAGGATGGCTCAGCTGGAGGCACAACTGCAAACTGGTGGAAACAGCAAGGAGACAGTGGCGCGGGTGTCAGAGGAGTTTAAAACCTTTCGTGAGTTGATGTTTACCATGCTGGGTCTTCTTCGGAAGCAAATTGGTGAGTGTGTCAGGATGGTGGATGCTATGGAGACCCGGCACCGTCACAAGTCCCTGATCTTCTTAGGAGTGCCCGAGGCTATCAAAGAGGATTGTGAGACAACTCTTCTCGACATAATTAATTCAAAGATGAATAAGAAAGACATCTCACGCCCAAATATCAGGCATTGTTATCGGATTGGTGCTCCATCTAAAGAACATCGTCGGCCAATATTGGTGAGATTTACCACCGCGGAGACTAGATTGGCGGTCTGGAAGTCTAAGACATCCCTGAAGGGTTCTGGCTTCTCAGTGAGGGAATTTCTCACTAAACGCCGACAGACTGCCTTCAGCATGGCCCGACAGCATTTCGGTATGTCAGCTTGTTGGACGCAGGACGGCATTATAAACATCAAAACCCGTGACAACTGTCGGCATAAAATAACATCCATCGACGAGCTTAAAGGATTGGTCACCAAATATCCTAAGGTATCAGTTGCAGATAGAAGCGTCTCCGAAAATGCAAATTTAGCTGTGAGTAATAAAAGTACGCGAAGACATTAGTATTAGTGACACTACTATTTGTCGCATTGTGCTTTCGATATATTTTCATAATATCCTGATAATAAGTTTTCATAGTTTCTTGTTTGTTATTGTACCTTCAACTCATTAATTAAAAACTTTGTTTGCTGTCCTGTGAATTGCTAACAATCGTGACAGATATGACATCTGTCAAGTCAATGTTTCGCTCGTTCAGCAACCATTACTGTTGCGTTCAGTATTTTGTACTCACAAAACCCTTAGCTATTTAACTCTTGTTTTTATTTTGGTTCTTTCTCTGGTTTAGCTGCCTAATTATTATTAACTAAATAAGGTACACTATGTTCAATTTATAACATTTATTTATAGTCGTTTTTTCTTCGCATGTTTTGTTTTAGTGTTTTACTAATTAATTTCAGTCTTGTGTGTGAGCTGGCGGGTGGTGTAGAAATACGTAAACCCAACGTCGACTAAGGTAATAACTTACAAAAATATTTATTATATATATATGCATGTACAATATTATATATATTTATATTATATATTTGTAAAATATTTTATTAGATCGTATTCCATTTAATTCATTGTATGTTTAATACGAGTACTCTGCTGTTATAATGTTTGATGATAACGAAGTATATTTTTCTGCCAACGACTCTTCAGATAATGATAGCTACAGTTCGCTACCTGATACCTTGGGGGAACAATTACGGCAGTCATTTAACAATCAATCTTTGTTGAATGTATGTCATATAAATGCCCAGAGTGTTCCCAGTCATTTTAATGACTTGACTGTAACTTTCACCGACAGCAACGTTCATGCCGTACTGATTTCAGAGACTTGGCTCAAGCCGCACCTATCTTCTTCTTCTTTTTCACTGACTGACTTTGTACTTATTCGTAATGATCGAATAGAATCAAAAAGAGGCGGTGGGGTTGCCATCTACCTCCGTAGCTGTTTACCTTATAAAATCGTCGCCGCTTCTGCTTCCGATCTTTCTACTACCGCTGAATATCTATTCCTTGAAGTTCGTGTCGGAAGATCTAACGTATTACTGGGTGTAGTTTATTGTCCCCCCGTTGTTAGCTACTTCTCCAGTCTGGAAACAGTTCTGGAATCTTTAGGGTCGGAATATGCACATCACATCATTATGGGAGATTTTAATACCGATCTTCTAGCGATTAACTCTCCCCGTACCCGCTATCTCCTTCACATCATCCAATCCACCAGCTTCCACGTCCTCCCCCTTCAAGCAACTCATCATAATATTGAGCACCAGGATACTTGGCTTGACCTAATGCTCACCTCTGCTCCTAACCGGGTCCACTCACATGGTCAACACCCTGCTCCTGGATTTTCCCATCATGACTTGATCTTTCTCTCCTATATCCTAAAACCCCCTAAATCCTGTCCCAAAATTTTGCGTATGCGTAGCTTTAAGCGAATGGATGTCGAAAAACTGTGTTCAGATGCTTCCAAATTAGACTGGACGAACTTGGCAGCGGCCACTGACATAGACGACAAGGTCAGGATATTCAACGACGCAGTTCAGAACTTGTATGACGTTCACGCACCTGTTAGGCAAGTTAAATTAAAGCGGGCCCCCCGCTCCATGGATGACAGAGGAAGTACGAATGGCCATGAGACGGAGAGACCATTGTTTCAAAAAATACAGGAGAAACCGCTGTGAAGAGAAATGGAACCTCTTTAAGACTGCGAGAAATCGGTGCAACCAGGTGATACGTAACGCAAAACGCCGTCATATTCTTCAAAATATAGAAACCTCTTCGTCTTCCAATATGTGGAAGTTTCTTGGTACATTGGGCATTGGCAAACAGCAGCGCCCTGAGGTGAGGATGACAATTGGTCTAGATGATATCAATCGTCACTTCTCGTCCGCACCTCAGCTGGATCATCAAACCAAGAGTCAAACCTTGAACTATATTGCTGGTCTTGCCCGACCCAATATTGAATCCTTTAGCTTTTCTCCGGCATCTTCCGAGGACATCAAAAAGATCATCCTGTCTATACATTCCAATGCTATGGGTTGCGACTGCATCAGCCGTCGCATGATTGTCACTATCTTGGATCAAATTCTTCCTGCAATAGCCCATATCATTAACTTTTCACTCGACTCCGGCAATTTTCCCTCAATCTGGCGTAAGGCTTTCATAATCCCTTTGCCAAAAAAAAATAACCCTTCTCTCCCTGAACACTATCGACCTATTTCCATACTCCCCTTTCTCTCAAAAGTGCTTGAGGCTTGTGTACATAAGCAGCTATCGCAGTTTGTGTACCAGCAGAAGCTCCTTAGCCATTTACAATCTGGATTCAGACCTGGTCATAGCACAATTACCGCTCTCCTAAAAGTGACTGGCGATATTAGGCAGGGTATGGAGGACACCAAAGTCACAGTGCTGGCTTTGATTGATTTCTCGAATGCCTTTAATACCGTCAGTCACGATGTTCTGCTATCCATCCTTTCCTATCTTATGATCTCCTCGGAAGCCCTGGAATGGTTCTCCTCCTATCTTCAGGGACGACAACAGTGTGTTCGTATTGACGGCTTGTCATCGAGTTGGTGCGACCTTTTCACTGGCGTCCCTCAAGGCGGTATATTATCTCCGTTATTATTTTCAATTTTTATTAATCTCGTTACCCAACACCTTCAATGTGCGTATCACCTGTATGCAGATGACTTGCAAATTTACGCCCAATCGAGAGTTGAAGACATATCACACGCCACTGATAAAGTCAACAAAGATTTGGACTTCATAAGGGGATGGTCGATGAGGTTTGGTTTGTCGGTTAACCCAAGCAAATGTCAAGTGATCGTCATAGGTAGCAAACAGATGTTAAATAGGTTGGACATGACGGCCATACCACCAGTTGTTTTTAACGACATAATCATACCTCTGAGCCCAGTGGTTAAGAACCTAGGGCTACATATTGATTCGACACTTGACTGGAGAGCACAAGTCACCCACGTCAGCCAGCAAGTCACTACATGTCTTCGCGCCTTATATCGTCTCAAGAATTTTCTGCCCACTAAAACCAAGGCTACGCTTATGCAGTCCCTTATTACTCCCTTAATCGATTATGGTGATGTGTGTTATCTTGACCTGAATGCAGACCTCCTCAATAAACTAGACCGACTTCTTAATAACTGCATTCGATTTGTTTTTAATCTTCGCAAGTATGACCATGTGTCTGCTTTACGTTCCCAACTGAAATGGCTCCCGATTCGTCAACGCCGCAGTCTGCGCGCACTAACATATCTTTTTTCATTTCTTAATTCCCCATCGGTACCTGAGTACCTGGTTCCCCATCTCCGCCTCCTTTGCTCCAGTCACGACCGAAATCTTAGATCAACAAATAATATGCTTCTTCTTTGCCCCCCTCACACTTCCAACTTCATCAACTCTTCCTTCTATGTTCAGTCAGTTCTTCTCTGGAATGCGCTCCCAGTTGAAATCAGGATGTCCACTAACCGGTTTACGTTCAAGAAGAAAGTACAAGAACTTCTACAAAATAAGTTGGCAGAAAGGTCACATCGCTAGCACCCGACTATGTGTTTTGATATTTATGTATTTATAAATGTGTATATTCATCTATTGTATGTGTATACTTGAGACCTCTATGTATATATGTAGTGATGAATATAGTATTTTATTTATAGTATTTATAGTAGTAGTGTATATATGTAAGTTAGATTTATCCTACATTAATAAGTTTAATATAAACAAGTCAAATTCTCTGTTGTCTCTTGCACCTACAGCTTCATTTTTCTACATCACCCAAAGGTCGACTGGCAGAGAATGCCTTGGGCATTAAGTCCGCCTTTGTACAACTAGTGCATTAAGTTAAATAAATAAATAAATGAATAAAATTATCTGACAAGAAAAGTTCTGTAAAACTGCTACTGCACACTTCAACTGAAAACTTTTATATTAAGTAAATTATAGTTAGGTGCTACATGTTCCAAAGACGGGGCCGGGGCAATGGCCCTAGGAATATTATGTATATATATAGGTAGTAGTTTCTTATTTGACTCGTCTTTTGTACGTGTTTATGAGGCCAGCTGGATTCTTCGACGGCGTGGTACCTCCGTGACAAAGACGTGACGGGATTCCATCCTTAAGACGACCGTAGACTAAAAACGGGTTCATACGCTTTACTTGCAATTTTTTTTCAGAGATGATGATTGGGCTGTATAGGTAGTACATGATCGCACACTGATTAAAACACGTTCTGGTAAGGGAAAAACGATTTAAAGAACTTTAAAATTTAAAAATATTATTGGAATTGTATTCTCGCTTGAAAGTACAAATCTTATGCAATTCAGTTGCAAGTATTCATCGATACTAACATTCAAGTTTAACATTCAATCCTACGTCGATGTTTCAGTTATTTTAGGAAGTGTCAGGGTTTTTAATAACTCACGCGCGTTTAGACCAAAATAACCTTTTAAATATGTAAACTCTCTAAGTCTTTAAATGACAACATTCATTTTAGATGTTTTGTTTTCATTTTTAACACATTTTCATGCGCTGGAATAAAACTGTCTAAATATATAAACAAATTTGGAAGCCAATTTTAACCTGCTTCCAATTGTATCAAAATTTGTATGTCTATGTAGTTTGGCTGATAATATTATAATTTAGCATCTTCGAGGTGGTCTGAATTGTTAATTTGGTTCACCATTAAACTGTATTTATAATTGTCAACAATTTTTTTTAAATAATTATAACCGTCTAGTTTATATTTTACTCGTATTTTGTTATGCATTGATCAACAATGAAATACATATATTTCACAGTTTAACAAGGTTGTATGGTTTTAATCTGTCACCAACATTAGAATCAGTCCTCCAACTAAATTATTAACGAAATTAACTGAGAAACCATGAAAAGTGATTTTCACAGGCGATTCTTATTTTAGGCGCAGTATGGCACACCATGATGCTTTCAGTCCGTTCGATTCCTACATACCGCCGAACCAAATACTGCGTTAGTAGTGATGGTCTTCCACAAATGAAAAAAAGTTTTTCAAGTTTTGTTTTTAAACAACAATGAAATGCTGGTAAATATCGTGTTATCACTGTTACTTCAAGGACGCTTAAAGCAACACATCGAGCGAGGCTTAACGAATTCTTATCACAAATTAAAGTTCGTTTTTTGTGCACATATATTCAACTTTTTCTAGTGACATATAAGAAAAATGTTGAATTACAAATTTACATGAACAACTGGTCAAGCGGATCCAATAAAAAATGATTTCCTATACAAATAAGGCGGCATACATGATGAATATGATATACTCGAAAAAATATACCTAGTAGGAGAATATTTACGTAACGCAGAGCATAAGAACCTAATAGTGTGTGTATACACGTCTAAATACTTACAAAGAGACACAACATCCCTAACACGCAGGTAAGAGATGGCGAGGCGCATGATGGAAGCCTTGTCAAGCTGATCTACATCTTCCTTTCTAGCAGGTAGAGCAGCTGTGAGTTCAGCAAATATATGCATCTCCTTGTTACGTCTGGTCCGTGCCGCCACACGCGACTTCTCCTTCCGTTTCTCATTATTCCTGTGAACAAAGGAAGATATTTATTACACATCAATAAGCTAATACGAAGACTGAAACGAACAAAGCCGTTTATTTAATTTGTTTTAGTGAAACAAATACTTTTTTCATATTACTTTGAAGGAGAATAATAAATGCACGACTCAGTTAATTATAGAAGGTTAATGATGTTTAAAGACAGTCTGAGCCTGCATCCAGAATCGTATCGTATTTGAGTTTGAGTCTGAGTGTCGTGGTATTTGGAGTTCTAGGTATCTACTTTTTTTAACTACACTAAAATCGATCGCTTGTTTCGTAAGCGTTATCGTTATCATTGCGTTATGAATCGCCTAAATAATACTCATCGTTCTAATCAGACATGAACCTCTAGTACTATAATCAATCTCCGTACTAACTCAACATCTTGCTGCCTATTCCATAATTTTTTCATTTAAATTTTTATGGCTGTAGGCTTTATTGACGTCAAATTTCCACTATCTTTCAAAAAAAAATCATTTTTTGTAATAACATATTATTTCTGTTAAATTTTTCTATTTTAGATAACGAAAACTCAATACCTTTTCTTTATTGAACAGAGGTTGTCCCTGTTGTTTGTAACTTCGACGCTTCCGGTCTTACACATTTTGAGATTGGGACACAATTTTGATAATTAAATTAACAACAATAATTAATATTTCTTAATTAAAATTACAGAGAAGCAACACTTAACGGCACTATGCCGAGTAACAGACTGATGTGCCTAATAATTACTAAAATTTTATTCCATTAATTTGACATTAAGCCCCCAAACTGACGACCATTTTATCGCTTGTTCTAAATAGTGTATTTAAGGAATGCGTCACAAATGCATTTTTAAACTTGTTAAGGTTGATTGTATAGTTTTAACGAGCTACAAGATACCTAGTTTGGACAGGTAGAGCTTTATTGTTCTTGATCTATGCAACATATTTATAGAAAGTTCGAGAAATAGGTAATATTTTTATTCTGTTGCCACTTGACGAATAACTGGTCAGGTGGCAACGGAATAAATGCAACAGACCCATAATAAAAACTATAAAGACCAGTTTAATCACCGAAATTCGACATTTAAAAACAGTCCTTATCGGGTCTAAAGGCCAAAAGGAAAATTAAGCAATCAGGGATTTCACAAAAAAAAAAACATTAGACGCCCCAAATATTTTTGGCGCCGATCTCGCTGTCGCTAAGTAAACTAATTTATTAAGGGATAATAAACATAAGGAAAAAGTTAGTATATAATGGCATTTGGGCAAATACATTCTTCTTTGTGTAGAACGAACATCTACTACGTAACCGATAATGACTTAAAAACGTAATTTAATGCAGTTAGTTATTTTACGTACTTAATTTTAAGTCTCTTGTTATTCGATATAAGTAAAAACCTGATTTTAGGAAAAAACATAAATGTGTTGTAGGCGTACCGATACAAAGCACATTCAGGCTAGTTTATCCCCAAAGTTATGTTGAATTGTGCTAAACCTTCGACTTCGACTCGAGCCGCATGTTTTTGAAAAAGAGGCCAAGTCTACCGGGGTTCAAAGGTAACCCTTTTAAGGGTGCATTTGAGGCACTGGGAATAAATCTCTGTGACAGGCGTTTGAGTGGCCCCACATTAAAAAAAAAAACATTATCTGCTGTCTTTTGGAATGAAAATTTAATGACTCATAAATTTGAGTAAAAAACACAAGAAAAATTGGGGAACGCACGGGATCTGTGTCCTAACGCTAATTGCACGGATGGCGTAGGGTTACCTCACTACTTACAACGGCTGAGTTTTGTGGGTTCGCACCCCACATGGGAGAACACTTTTTTGTAATTCACAAATTGTTGTTCTAGTCAGATTTCTTTGTGCCCCTTTTTTGTATTTTATAAAGTCCCCTGCAAGGATACATTTGTGGGGGGATTTTTTTTTAGAAAGCGAAAAAAAAACCAAACTTCATTTTTAATTTTTTTTTTACATACAGTTTTTCCTTCATCCACAAAAAGAATGTTCTCAGTGTGGTATCAGAAAATCTGGTTACATCCCCTATAACAATTACGGAGTTGCAAAAAAAATACAATTTAGTTTAGGGAAAATTTTTGTGCTTTTTTAGGGTTGGGACCTAGGTATATTTTTAATTTTGTAAAAAATATTATCTTTTGTTTTTCCAAAAATTTTTTGGGGCGGGGCATGAGTTTTCTTGTCATTTCGTCTTTCACTTGTCAGTTCACTGTTACCTTTCCTCGCCCTTCCCTTTCACTCAGTCCATCCGTCTTTTCTTTGGTCTTTTTTTACTCTTATATCCGTAACTTTCCCTACTTAAACTTTCTTTACCCCATTTTGCTCCTCCTACGCATTTTCAGTCTATACCCGGATAACCCGTTGTTTTCAACTTTTTTTTTACCCCCAACTGCACCAAGCTGCTTTTTTCAGGTTTCCTCTAATGTTTTTCACTCCTCACTTGTCCATTTTTTAGTCACATCACACATCCATTTTTACATTTGCATTTTAGCTACATGCAGGTGTCTTTCATCAGTTTTCTTTGTTGGCCAACATTCTGATCACATCATCGATTGATCGATCACACGGTATTTTATGCATGTATACAAAATTATGTGAGAACTTATTAAGTTCGATGCTCAACAACACACAAGGGATCATGTAAAAGGTAGGTAGACTGACAACTCCAATTAAGGTAAATTAATTAAATAAAAAGGGCCTATTAGGAAATAAAACCGAGCTATGCTGACAGGGAATGACAAGAAAATATTTAAAAAAATTAAAACTTTTTTCCTAGTGCACTATTCAATCCAAATTATCTGAGCCGCAGTTACTACATATTTGACAACCCTGTTTCTCTATTATATTGGCTAAAAGAGCTGACGCTATAGATTTGACGTAAGTCTCCTTACGTGATTGGAATTAATGAGCACAATCTGGACAGAATGTAGGGTTCGAATAAACACGCATGAAATCAATTCAACGATGACGTTTGTTTCGCTGGACGTAAATTTTTATTCGTTCGTAGGAAATGGAATCGAACCTGCATGTAGAATTATTTTATCGATCATCACATTATCAGTAATTTACAAAGAAACGTCTTCTAAAATTGAATTACAAATCACAGACGCGGAGCATAGAGTACTGGTTAATAGAAACGTGTTGTCACTCTTATGTTACCGGCAGAAGTCTGAAAAGCTCGAAGCTCTAATAAATTATCAGCGGTGTCACCAAAGCTACAGTTTTCATATTAATATTAGAGGTATTTTAAGTTGGTAAAATTACTATTCGTGGTTACAGCATCATAAATAGGGAATGGAAAAGAATTCCGATTATACTCATAATAATGATGATCTAGTAGAATATTCTTTGACGATAAAGTAAACAAAGCAGAAAATTAACCTTAAGATTGATTTTAGCATACAGTTACGGATATATTGTTATTACGAAGTAGAACGGAAACAATAAACTTTTATCTATAAAAAATACACTTTCCTGGTTTCTGTACGCTTCATTTTATTTAACTGTAACTTTTGTATTTCAAAATTATTAAAGCCAAGATATTTTATTAAGATTAGATTTTATTTTCAATATCCATTTTTAAAATCTTAAAACCACACGTACTGTAAAAAGATTTACACATACAAATCTTTATGTGCATCTGTTTAATGACTAACTACTGTGCCCTTAAATGGTCCTGGATCGCTTAGTTTTATTAGTACATTGCTCTAAACTAATAATAAATTGAAATCACACAAATAAGCAACAAAATCGGTAGTGTACATAGTTAGGGCTTACACTCATTTTTATAATCCATATTAATATTATAAATGCGAAAGAATGTCTGTCTGTCTGTCTATTATCTCTTCACGCTTTAACCGCTGAACCGATTTAGGTGAAATATGGTATGAAGATACTTTGATTCTTGATAAAAAACATATGCTCTTTGCTACTTTTAACCGCGATAACCGACAATTACGCGGGCGGAGCCGCGGGCAAAAATTAGTATTATATAATGTTACGTTGGTTTGTGTACGCTTCAAAAACTCAAAAAGTTCTGCACCGATTGAGCTCAAATTTTGATACGATATACAAACCGCTTCAAACATTGTTTTTATTTACTTTTTGCGTCTGTTTTGTTCCTCATTTCTCATTAATGCAAACTACAATGCGCTACAGCGAAGCGTGACAGGGTACAGCTAGTTTATTATAAAATTGTAGTTGACAATATTTTCAAAGTCTGTTTCTAATAAATCGTAACATTATTAGCAGTGTATAATACTTTAGATAAAAATAATCAGTCCTTTTGCATTGAAACATATTTTTGATTGTAAAACACAGATAAAAAAACAGTTGGTATTTTTGTTTTATAATTACCCTTGGTCGTCACTGCTATTGTTACAACACGAGAATCACAACATATGTGAATAATTTAATGCATACAATACGTCATGTTTATTTTTTGTATGTATTTATTAGTGTATATATTTATAACTCTAAATTCGATAGTCGACAGCCCTAGGGACAATACTAGCGGGAATATATTGTCGTCTTATCTAGCTATGCGTGTTTATTGTTCAGACTGATTTAGTCTCGACGCTCACACGACACAGGACAGCAAAGAAGTAATGAGTCATTTAAGTCAAGCTGGCAACTCTAACCATTTTCCGTAGTTTCAGCTGATTCTAATACGCTGTGTATGAAATGCTGTACAGCGGATTGACCTTTTAATGAAGGCTGACTCTGCAGAAATATTGTTGTTTATAAGTTTATACGTTTGAGGAACATACAGTTTTCCTCCATGCCTCTAAATACCATGAATAACAATATGATATTACAATATTTTACGTACGTGTAATGCTGAGAACACAATTTAATTTGAGGATTTACATACCAGTAATGTGCTAGATATCACAGCGAACAAATAATATACTGCAATGGTAAGGTTTGGTTGCTGTCCAGCATAAACATTTGTTAAACTATATTTCTTGAAATATTTTAAGTA